CCCAGAAACCCTAAAACCCTTAAAACGCCTGAACCCTAAACCCTAAACACTTAACCCCTAAACCCTAAGGTTAAGGCCACCAGAAACCCTGAAACCCTTAAAACCCCAGAACCCTATAAACCCTAAACCCTTAACCCCTAAACCCTAAGGTTAAGGCCCCCAGAAACCCTTAACCCCGAGACCCTAAGGTTAAGGCCCCCAGAAACCCTAAATGCAGGCACAGCGGCTGAAGGTCACCGGGCCCTGGTTGGGTTTCGGGTTTGGGGTTTAGGGGGGTTTAGGGGGTTAGGGTTTAGGGTTTAGGGGTTTAGGGGTTTAGGGTTTAGGGGTTTAGGGGGTTAGGGCTTTAGGGGTTTAGGGTTAACTGTAGTAGTACTATATAGGGCCCTAATAATTAGAATAGGGTTTGGCGGGGTCATTTTATTTATTCGTAATTATTTAGGCTTCTAAACACCGCGTGGATCCGTTGATTATCTTTTTACCGTTTGGTCACAGTTTGGCAATGGCTCTTCACCCTAAGCCCTACACCCTAAACGCTTTGTGAATCTACTAGAGAGACTGCTGCGAGTGTTTCTGGGTAGACCTGCTAAGTTTGAAGCCATAAACCCCTAAACCCTAAACCCCCAAACCCCCAAACCCCTAAACCTTAAACCCCTAAACCCTAAACCCCTAACCCCTAAACCGCTAAACCCCTAAACCCTGAAAACCCTAAACCCCTAAACTACCCTGATTCCCACTCTGCATCCTCCTGTAGAAAACTAGCACTTTACCGTAGCCCTGAATCCTAATTAGGGGGTTAGGGTTTAGGTACCCCACTGGAGGTGTCCAGAGACTCTTGTGGTGCTATGTCGTACGCAAAACGTACTGGTGTCATCAGGAGCCCTAAAGAATAGTCTCGCTAACCGCTCTCCGGCTTCTACAATAGTAGATACGTATTTTGGCATTGAAAATACAATGCGGGAACCCTTGCACAGCCCAAACATCTGCAAAGTAAATACACCGGCAAGATGGCGGAACTGCCTCCGAACGCGCGGCTAAGGTATGCCAGCGCATTTGCCTAGAGTGAGACAGCTTTGTTCTACTACAGGGGCCTTAATAACTAGAATAGGGTTTTGGCGCACTTTATACGTTTAACAAAATAAGGAACCACCAAAATAGTATAGGTAATTATTTAGGCCCCTATATTAGGGTGGTCAGAGCAACTCTTATCGCTTGCTTTCAGTATCTTCTTCAACGGCCGGGCCCAAAAAGCTCAATCTTTCGACTTTCTGACACAGACCAATACATAAGGCCAAAAAAAATTAAAGCTCTCCCATGGGCTAATTAAGATTCCTAACGATTCATAGCTCGTCATGGGGCTGCAGAAGGATGAGAACGATGGCTAAGGTCTTGCACCCTTGACTTTGGAGGCGCTGCAACTAGAGCCCCTTGTTGCTAAATCAACCTTCCGGTATAGGGTTTATGGTTTAGGGTTTAGGGTTTAGGCTTGCTTGTCCAGTATCCCTAAAGGGGTTTGGGGTTTCCTTGCCTTTGCATGCACCAACTTGTGATGGTCTTGTACTTCGTCGCCGGCTGCTATACTCGACCCCCCCAAATCTGTTCAAATTACTACGGCCCCGCTTTTGTTCAGGATATTTGGGATCCGGAGAGGTTTCTGCGTCTTTAGGAACCTAGCACACCTAGCTCAAAAGACTGGGTTGCTGTTAAGGGGCTTAAACTATGCTACTATATGAAGGGAAGCCTAGCTTTGACAAAAAATCCCCACTACTGAAACCCTAAGCCCTTAGAGGAACCCTTTATAGATCCTTTAAAGGAGCCCGTGTAAGTCGCCACTATAGTAACTTAACTTAAAATCCTTAACGGTAACCCAGAGGATTCGGGATAAGTCTCAGGTGGCCTGGGTACTTGCTTTTGCTTCGACAATTTAGGCCTTAGGGGTTAAGGGTTTAGGGTTTATGGGGTTTAGGGGTTTAGGGGTTTAGGTTTTAGGGCTTATGGCGTCTAGGGTTTAGGGGCTTAGGTTTTAGGGGCTTAGGGTTTAGGATTTGAGACTTCAAGGATTCAGTCGTTTGGGTGGCTGAGGCAATAGGAGTTCGGGGCT